GATGGAGTTTAAATTAGGCAAATGCAAGGCAAATCAAGGCGGGACTTATATAGTTAATGGCCGGGCCCTGGGGAGTGTTACTGAACAAAGAGGCCTAGGCATGCAGGTGCATAGTTCCGTGAAAGTGGAGTTGCAGGAAGACAGGGTAGTGAAGAAGGCGTTTGGTACGCTTGCCTTCTTTGGTCAGTTCATTGAGTATAGGAGGTGGGAGGTCATGTTGCGGCTGTACAGGACATTGGTTAGCCCACTTTTGGAATACTGCATTCAGTTGTGGTCTCTCTGCTATCAGAAAGATGTTGTGAAACCAGAAAGAATTCAGAAAAGATTTACCAGGATGTTGTTGGGATTGGAGAGTTTAAGCTATAGGGAGAGGCGGAATAGGTTGGGGCTTTTTTCCCTGGACTGTTGAAGGGTGAGGGAGTGACCTTATAGAGTTTTATAAAATCATGAGGGGTATGGGTAGGGTGAACAGACAAGGTGTCTCCCAGGTAAAGGAGTCCAAAACCAGAGGGTGTAGGTTTAAGGTGAGAGGGGTAAGATTTAAAAGAGAGCTGAGGGGCAACTTTTTCCACACAGAGGGTGGTGCGTGTATGTCACAGGAAGTGGTGGAGGCAGGTACAATTACAACATTTAAAAGGCATCTGAATGAGTATATGAATAGGAAGGATTTAGAGGGATATGGGCCAAATACTAGCAAATGGGACTAGATTAATTTAGGGTATCTGGTCAGCATGGATGAGTTGGACCAAAGGGTCTGCTGTATAACTCTATGTAAAACATAAGCATCTGGATGGGATATCTGAGGACTGTTAGTGTGGCCTAGAACAGTATTTAAGATGGAATCAATATCTTTGGTAGAAGAGGAGATAGAAAGATTAGTAGTTGTAATCTGGGTAAGGTCAAAACTTCTATTCATTTTTCCACATCTCGTTGTCTGACACTTTCCTCTGCAGTAGTTGATAGGAGCTACCCATTTCCAATTTCATGTTGCCAAATATCATTATTCTTTTCCCTTATAGTCTACATCCTCAAATCTTCCTTAAGCAAATTCCCATGCATTAGAATATAGCCAATCCGAATCAGCTATCTTTTCTAGATGGTATTCATGAATGATATTTACTCCACTAACATGCGAAGAACATTCTCTTGCTCTTGTATTCTCGTTAACTAACTTACTTCATCTGTCTCCAGGGCTATTTTAAAAGAAGCACTATGTGGTGTACAGGCCAGGTAGAAGCTCAATGGGTGGCTATGGTGGGATTTGTAATGATCGGGCTTTGGCAGCAAGCACAGCAGGAGATCTATTACTAATAAATAGCATGAATGAAATGGGCAAATATTATGGATTCAAGACTATTGCAACAAAGACAAAAGTTATGAAGATCGGAAGAAATAATAGTTGGAAAACAGAAGTGAAGAAAAAAATGGAAGCAGGTGTTACATCTCACTGGAGTACCACATTGCAAATCTTATATTTCTGGAGTTATGACAAAAGTTAAAGATTTTAAAAAGTATGCAGAATTCCCCAATTTACCAGACTTTCAGACCCAGATTTCTGTGCTTAGCAAGAATTACTATTTAAAGTAAAAATAGAAAGACTCTAGCTACAAGTAAGCAATTATGAACTATCAGTATATTAAAATGCTAACCCCTTTATAACACCCCTCTGCACATACATACAGACAAAAACAAACAGGAAAAAAGAACATTGGTATTATATGCAAAATGAAAAACTGGGAAAACAGTTCCAGGGTTCCTGTTCACATGATTTAGTGAACTAATTCTTGTACTGATCAGAATGCTACTTCTCAGTCGTCCTTCTCCAGATACTTTCACTTGTTTACAGGAGGCACAAGATGATTGGTTCACCCTTATAAATGGTCTCTGACTTAAAGTCACTGCTTACAGCAAATGCTGAAGGAAAAATAAACACCTTTTCAGGTTTGAAGTTTTTGTTTTTACTGCAGAGAACAGAAACACCACCTGAGTTTGTTGAGATTTGATGGATTCTTCCCATCTAGTTCACAACTCCCAGCTACTTGGGAGCTAATCATTTAGCTGTTGGCAAGTAAAAGGCCTTTGTCATTGATACTGGTCACTAGTCCACAGACTAATCAGCTGTTGCTGCTGGCTGAATCCCCATTTGAACTGAGCTGTTGGCTTTAGCTCATCTGCAAACAAACCAATACTGCTGGAATCAGCAGCTGTTCAAACAGCACTTACAATGACTGTTGGGTCCTTGCTGTAATTCTTCAACAATTCTTGCTTTTTAAAACAGTTCTTTTCCCATTTCAATTCATGATCAAAAATACAGCAAAACCAAATGTCTTTATACAGGTATCACAATTTAAGTACTGGGAAATGTTTTCTTCAGAATATGGTCACCGCCTTCAAGAAACCAGAGGTAGAACTGCAACTGCAAAGAAGACATTCTCCGAACATAAAGAATTACTCAGCAAAATATAGAATAGAAACCAAAAGAATGATCAAGACAGTGTCCTGTTTTATGGGGCTGAATCATGACCCTCAAGAACAGCTGCCACCCAAAGATTAGAAAGTTGTGAGGAGAAAGAACAATACACAGATTCATAGAATCCCTACTGTGCACAAAAAGGCCGTTCGGCCCAGAGTCTGCAGTGGCCCTCCAAAGAATATCCCACCCAGACCTAGTCCCCAAATCTATCCCTGTAACCCCGCATTTACCATGGCTAATCCACCTAGCCAACATCACCCTGTACGCTACAGTCCAATTTAGCATGGCCGATCCACCTAACCTGAACATCTTTGGGGTGGCACGGTGGCTCAGTGGTTAGCACTGCTGCCTCATAGATCCAGGGACCCAGGTTTGATTCCAGCCTCAGGTGACTGCCTGTATGGAGTTTGCACATTGTGTGGGTTTCCTCCCACAGTCCAAAGATGTGCAGGTTAGGTGGATTGGCCCATGCTAAATTGCTCTGTGATGTGCAGGCTTGGTGAGTTAGCTATGGGAAGTAAGAGGGTGGGTCTGGGTGGGATGCTTTTTGAAGGGTCAGTTCAGACCTGACAGGCTGAGTGGCCTCTTTTTACATATAGGGATTCTATGATTCTAAATTGCAGATCTGATGTTAAACACAGTGTTGCAAATGTTGCAATCGCGGGTTGGATGGGAAATCAGTGCCTTGTTTTTTGCAAACAGCTGAAGGGACGTGCTATTAGATATACTCTGCCAGTCTTTCGGACATATGGCATACACACCTGGCATCTCACCAGCCGTGCAATTCAAATACATTACTCATCTGAATGATAGACAGAACTTTTTTTTTGACTTGACAACAGCAGCCTGTGAGTGTTGAACAGTACTTGTGTTGCCACTACCGAGTAGCAGCATGAAACAGTTAGTTTCACCTGTTGCTCAAAACTCTCAGATACTTATGCTTCCAGGGCAATCTGAAGTCGACTGGGCTCATTTTAGGCCTAAAAGTGACTGCCTTTAGGGCCTTTCATGAGTGTGCAATATACAGCAACGAAAGGACTGGTGATGGTGGCCGTAATTAAGCAGGATCACTTTGATACACCCTAATACAGCATGAAGCTTGAACAGTGAACAAATGGCTCAGTCTTTATTTACAAAGTTGCTGGTAAGGCCAATTTTATTATGTGTTAAACTAAAGGAGTCCTAACATGTATACTGATCAGTAGACTTGTGGTAGGCAGTACAGTATTGGGGTGGCACGAAGGCTCAGTGGTTAGCACTGCTGCCTCACAGCACCAGGGACCGGGTTCGATTCCACTCTTGCACGACTGTCTGTGTGGAGTTTGCACATTCTCCCTGTGTCTGCGTGGGTTTCCTCCTGGTGCTCCGGTTTCCTCCCACAGTCCAAAGGTGTGCAGGCTAGGTGGATTGGCCATGCTAAATTGCCTGTAGAGTTCATGGATGTGTAGACTAGGTGGATTATAGGGGGTGTGGGCTTGTTGGGCCAAAGGGCCTGTTTCCACACTGTAGGGATTCTATGAGTACTTAAAAAGACCACCAACTGACTTTTCAACTAGGACATAGAGGAAATTGAGCATTTAACCATTCCACTTCAAATCTGAATTTGATTGGATATTGCCATCAACCCAAAAAGACTTCCTGCCTGTCACACAAATTTGTTATATGGTATATGAATTACCACACCAGTGAGGTACCATGTATATAGGCCAAACATCCCAAAGTCTGGTGGATCATGTCAAATAGAATCAAATAGAATATTCCTTGGTACACTGCAATAAGCATACTAACCATTCCCAGCCAGCCCATACTCGTACAACTGACAACACTGTGTCAAACATTAGATGTGAATCTACAATATAATCCTGAGTGTGCTAAGAATTACACAGAAGGCGAGTTTAGGATAGTCAGTCCTGCTTGCACTGTGGTGGACTTACATATACTGGCAGCCACATATATTAATATATAGGGCCCTGTTCTTAAAAAAAGCCACGTACATACATAACACCTGTTCCAGCCCAACAAAACAAGCGACAGTCATTTGTTGAAACATTTAGCAGGGCCTTTCAGAATCAAGCTGCCTGGTTTAAAATATAAAATGTCAATCAGTATTAATGGGTGCATTCTCCATGGCAGCATCTCTACCAATTAGAGTACACTTGCTAACTAATCAGCACTATCCTCTCATCTGTATGTTTCCACCTTGAGTTGGTATTTATATGAATTGTCCTGATGAGTGCAAGACAAAAAAAACTTTGACAAAGTATGTCTTTATTTTAGTAATATTCAAGTTCTGTACTACCAAACAACATGTACAACATGTATCAGGTTATTGTTGAGTTACTTGTTATGTATCAAGTTACTTATCCTTGTATCTTCCTCTATGTACGCTGAATTACTTTTTTTCTCTCACAGCAAATTATTTTATTTTGAACTTTGGAACTGAACCAAACAAAGTCATAAACCCAAAGACTTAACAAGTTACACTGCATTTGTTCCTTACACTTTTTAATGCATATACTTCATGCACTTACAAGACTAATCCTCAAGTATTTTATATTTGACAGATAACAAGGTAGTCATTTATTTTTATTTTTGCTCTTACTAGGAAAGGAATTAACATTTATTTTAAAATTCAATGCTTTTTCTTGTTTAAGTTGTGAGATTCTGGTTGTAGCTTAAGTCTCTATTATCATAGTCAAAGGCTTATCTTGAACAATTCCATCTGGAACGGGTGGTGGGTGTCCTGCTGATGATGTGGGTACTGGTATTTCCAAGATCCCTTGTTTGGTTGTCTTTTTTTCTGCAAAGAAGGCATAAATTATTGTACAATGTATGAGCCAAAACACAAGATCTAATATAATTATCAGCTGCAATATCTCTATTAGAGATGAATGCTGTACAGATGCAAATTACATAATAACTGGTATGAAGATATATTGAAACATTCACCTATCACTAAGTTAAATGCACAGATATCTTCTTATTTTGCAATGCTACTGTGGAATACTACATATATACAAAACAATTTACTCCATTATGTTATCTGGTGACAGCAAACTTGTCGCAATATTAAAAGATTATGAGTTCTAACAAAACTTAATGGATCTGAAACTCTACAGATGCTGCCTGACCTTCTGCATATTTCTGGTATTTTCTGTTTATAGTTCAGACTTTCAGCATCTGCATGTTTTACTTTGTCATTGATTGATTTCTTACAACCAGATCGATTCTATGTCCAATTCTTAACGGAGAAAATATGCCATCACATTCTGCGCTTGATAGAGTTTTTACCTCATTGTAATTCACCTTAAATTGCTTGCAAAATAAAGTGCGCATTGTTTAGAGTAACTGTAATGGCCTGTGTTATTACTCTGGTTGTTGGCACTTTTATATGCACTGAGCTTTTATGACATTAATAAAAGACACTTCAAAAACACAATAAACTGCAGATTAACTGAAATTTTCATTAAGCCTTTGATTTTCAAATGATGTTCATGATTCCAAGCAGGTTGTATCTATTGAAATATTTGCAAAAAACTGTATCAATATTTATTCTAACTTGAAAGCCACAGATGTGTACAGAATTATTGATGTTTTCAATCATGTAAGTGGAAGTCACTGCCACAGTAGTCTTTATAAAGAATTAGTTAATCTAATAGGATTATCGCCTACAAGGTATTGAGGGAACCTACAAAGATGTTGTCAGGAATGAAGAATTTTAGTGACAAGGGAAGATTCTGCAGGCTAGGGTTTTTTCTTTGGAATGGAAGGGAAATTTAATTGAGGTGTATCAAATTAGAAGGTATTTGGACAAAATGAATTAGAAGGAACTAAATTCATTGCGAAAGAGGGGAGGCAGGTTTAAAGTAATTGGTAGAAGGAGCAGAAGGGAGTTGAAAAGAAATATCTTTCATCCAAGAGATTTCATGAAAGAGTGGAACAGGCAGAAATAATCATCAAATGTAGAAAACTCTTGGATATTCATCTAAAGTGCTACAATTGATAGGCTTTGGAGCCAGGGTAGAAATTGGGTTTAGGCTTTCACGACTGACAATATGGCCTGAATGGCTGCTTTCTGTGCCATCAACAGTCAATGCTTCAATGTTTGTGTGTGGGGGATGGCAGCATATTTCCAAATAGGAATGTGTGGGCATTTGCAGGTGGTAGTCTTACAATGCATTAGCTGTTCTTATCCTTATGAACAGTGGAGGTCATGGGTTTGGAAGGTGCTGTTGAAGAAACAATGGTGAATTGTTGCAGTGCATCTTACAGTTGTACAAGCTGCAGTGTATTGGTAGCAGACAGAATAAATTTTAAGGAGGTGATTGGGATTCCAAACAGGTGAGCTATTTTGTCCTGGATGCTTCTGAACTGCTCAAGTATTCTTGAGGTTGCACCCGTCCAGGGTGCTCACGAGTATTTCACCACACTGGTGAATTGTGCCTTGTAGTTACTATAAAAACTTTGGGTGGTCTCATAAACCAGAAATCGTAGGTTCAAACACCATCTATACCTGCAGACTCCTGGTTGGGTTAGGGCCCTTTTGGGATGCAGTCGTAGTGTCCCTAATCCCAAACCAGGAGCCCCAGATTCAAGACCCACTTATTCCAAAGGTGTGTCATAACATCCCTGAACAGGTCGGTTAGAAATATAGGTTAAATTAGGAAAAGGCTTTGGGTGGGCCCTCTTGTGGCAGAGTGGTAATGTCCCTAGCCCTGGACCAGGAGGCCCAGGTTCAAGAGGTGTCTAATAACATCTGTGAACAGGTTGATTAGAAAAATAATTTAAATTTAAATAAAAAGGCTTTGGGTAGTTCAACAGACAAGACAGAATGCTTAGTCTCCAACCTGCTTCTGTATTTATACAATGATAGACAAGGTGAGAATCCATGAAATCCAGAGAAATGTGGCTAATTGGAGCCACAATTGGCTGAGTGGCAGCAAGCATTTTCTGAAGAAGGGTCTAGGCCTGAAACATCAGCTTTCCTGCTCCTCTGATGCTGCTTGGCCTGCTGTGTTCATCCAGCTCTACACCTTGTTATCTCTTTGTATTTATACAACTGGTCCAGTTAGGTTTTGGCCAGAGTATTGATGATGGGATATTCAGCAATAACAACACTATTGAATGTCAATGGGAGATAGTTAGATTGTTCAGATCATCATCTATTGTCATTTATGTGCAGTGAATGTTATTTTCCATTCATCAGGCCTAGCCTGGAGGTTGTCCAGGTGTTGCTGCATGCAGGGATGAACTGTTTAGAATTTGAGGATTCGCAACTAGAGTCACAGTCATAGATTCAACAGCACAGAAAAAGGCCCTTTGGCCCACAAAGTCTGCACTAGAAAAAAACAACCACCTAACTATTCTAACCCTATCATTTTCCAGCACTTGAATGTCCTGGCCCCACTGGATACAGGCTTTCAGTCAGTGAAACACACCTGGACCATAACTCTCTGCTTGCTGCCACTCAGCCAATTCTGGCTCCCATTAGCCACATTTCTCTGGTTTTCATGGGTTCTCACCTTGTCTATCATTATCCCCATGTGTGACCTTATCAAAAGCCTTGCCCACATCCAAGCAGACACATCTGCATGCCTGGTCACATTTTCGAAAAATTCGATCAAGTTGGGCAGATATGACCTCCCCTTAACAAAATAATACTGACTAAATGCAAATTAATTCTGTCCCTCAGAATTGCTTCCAATGGTTCCCAACCACTGAAGTTAGACTCACTGGGCTGTATTTTTCTGGTTTATCCCTTGCTCCCTTCATGAACTGGCTATCCTCCGGGATCTCTCCTGTGGCCAGAGAGGAATTGAAAATTATTGCTGGCACCTGTTATTTCCTCCTTTGCCTCACGTAAAATCCTAGGATACATTTCACCCGACCCTGGAGACTTCTCTAGTTTTAAGTCTGCTAGACAACTCAGAAGCTCCTCTCGCTGTTCATGCTAATTTCTTTAAGTATATCACAGTCCTTGTCCCTGATTTCTATACCCACATTACCCCTCCGGCTCCATGCACAAATTCTCATTGTGGTCCTCAATGACCCCCTACTCTTTCCCAATTTATCCTTTTACCCTTAATGCACTTCTAAAATAACTTAGGATTTTCCTTTATTTTACTTGACATTTCATGTACCTTTTTGTTCTCCTAATTTACCTTTAAGTTTTCCCTTGCACATACTATACTCCTCTGGGGCCTCTGTAAGTTGAAGCCATTGGTATCTGCCACAAGTCTCCCTTGACCTCTTTGTCTAATCCTGTATATCCTTTGACATCCAGTGTTCACAAGATTTGTTGGTCCCACCATTTACCTTTATTGCAACATGTTGGCCCTAAACTATTCCTATTTTGTTCTTGACACTTCTCTGACACAGATTTACCTAAAAATATCCACTCCCAGTCCACTATGACTAAATCATATCTGATCTTATTAAAATTGGCTTCTCCCAGTTTAGAATTTTGATTTTAGATCCATCCTTATCCCTTTCCATAGCAATCTTGAATCTAACTGAGTTATTTTCACTGTCTGCAAAATGCTCTCCCATGGATGCTTCAAAATATTTCCCAGCTTCATTATCTGAAATTAAGTCTAGGACTATTCCCTCTCTTGAAAGGCCTTCTACTATTAACTTAAAAAGCTCTCCTGGATGTGTTTTAAGAATTCCATTCCCTATAAATCTTTCACAGCATGATTACCCAGTTAACAATGCAGAAGATGAAATTCCCTACTATCACTATCAATTTTACACTTCTCTGCAATTAGCCAACATATCTGCTCTGCTATTTCTCTCGGGCTGTTAGGGGACTTTTACTACACTCCCGGCAATGTGATTGCTGCCTGTTAGTTTTTATGTTCTACACATACGGCTTTCATTTGAGGAGCCTTCTAAGATGTCATCCCTCCCTACTGCTGCAACAGATTCCCTGATCAATATTGTGACACTTTCTCCTCTTTTTAACTCCTTTCCTGTCTTCTGTATCTGAGCTGTTGGTGGGCATTCTACAATCATTCCCATTTTAGACATTACAGTGGAAAGAAGGTCATTGATGAAGTAGCTGAGACGGTTCGGCCTAAGACACTGCCTTGTAGCGTTTTTATTTATGCATCCCTGGGATGAGGGTATTGCTAGCTAGGCCACATTTATTGCTCATCCCAGAGGACAGTTAAGAGTCAATCGCATTGCTGTGGGTTTGGATATATGCCAGATCAGGTAAGGGCAGCAGTTTCCTTCCCCAAAGGACATTAGTGAACCAGATGGGTTTTTCTAATAATTGGCAATGGATTCATGGTCATCATTAGACTTTTAATTCTAGATTTTTTTATTGAATTCAAATTTCAACATCTCCCATGGATGGATTTGAACCAGAACATTACTTAGATTTCTGGATTAATAGTCTAGTGATAAGACCATTAGGCCATTGCCGAGATGATTGGCCTCCAATCACCACAAACAGTTTCACTGTTGCTACGGCTGGCTCTGTCACTGGAAGGTTTTTCCACAGATTCCCATTGATGCTACAATCAGTCAAATGCTGTCTTTATGTCAACAATAGTTACTCTCTCCTCCATTCTGGAATACAGCTCTTTTGTACAGGTATATACCAATCTGTAATGAATTCAAGAGTCAAACAGTACTGGCAGACCCAAGCTCAACAAGATGATCAGGTTAATGCTGAGTGACTGTCGATGACACTTATCACTAATGATTAAGAGTAGACAGATGGGAGTGTACTTGGCCAATTCAGATTTGCCCTGCACTTATGGAGATGCCCTAATCACAGAGATTTCCATATTGTTGGGTAGATCCCAGTGTCACAGTTGTACTGGAAGAATTTAGCTAAGGGTGTGTCTAGTTTGTGAGAGTAAGTCTTTAAGATTATACCAGGGCTGTCCTATTTATGCCTAGTCCATTGTTATTCTTCATTAACCATCAATTTATGCTACTTATAATTTTTCAAAATTCCCTCAATTCCAGAACAATTCCAGTGTATTTGGAGTTAGCAAATGTAACTCCTCTATTCAAAAACAGGAGGAAGACAAAACCAGGGACTTGAAGCATGTTAACCTGAAATCAGGAAACAGGAAACAAGAAACAAAGAACTGCGGATGCTGGAAAACTGAAGCAAAAATAGAAATGGCTGGAGAAACTCAGCAGGTCTAGCCGCATCTGTGGAGATAAAACAAAGTCAATGTTTCGGATCCAGTTACCCTTCTTCAGGCCCTCCTCACATTCTGTTAAGGGTCACTGTACCAGAAATGTTGACTGTTTTCTCTCCACAGATGCTGCCAGGCCTGCTGAGTTTCTCCAGCCATTTCTGCTTTTGAACCTGATATCAGTCCTTAGCAAAATGCTGAAAAATCTTATCAAGATACTTAGAAAATCATAGAAAGATAAAATAAAGTCAAAATGGTTTTATGAAAGGAAATTCCTGTTTGACAAATTTATTAGAGTTTTTGAGGATGTACTGAGTAGGGTAGTTAAAGGTGCCATTTATTAAAGTTTCTGAGGTCTTAATAATACAGTTAAACAGATACAGAAGATATAGTACACTTGGAATGCTAAAAGGCATTAGCTAATGTGCGACACAAAATGTCAATACGTAAGACCTCATGTAGTTGGGTGTAACGTATTAGCTGTGATAATGGATTACTTAATGGATAGGAAGCAGAGTGTAGAAATAAATGGGTCTGGCAGGGTGACTAGTGAAGTGCTGCAAGGGAGATTTTGAGGGCATCAGCTGTTTATAATTTATATTAAAGACTTTGACAAAGAGACAGAGACTATTAAACCATAAGAAATAGGAATAGGATCAGGCCATTCGACAGGTCGAGCCTACTCCACCATTCAATAGAATCATGGCTGATCTGGCACTCGTCATATCCACTTTTCTGCCCTTTCCCCATAACCCTTGATTCCCCTACTGATCAAGAATCTATCTCAGCCTTAAATATGCACAAGGATTCTGCCTCCACAGCTCTCTGCAGAAAGGAATTCCAAAAAAATCACAACCTTCTTAGGGATGAGATTCCTCCTCATCTCAGTATTAAATCAGCACTGCTTTATTTCAAGACAATACCCTCTGGTCCTTGACTCCCCCACGAGGGGAAGCCTTCTCTCAGCATTTACCCTATCAAACCCCTTAAGAAACCTACATGTTTCAATGTGACCACCTCACATTCTTCTAAATTCCAATGAGTAAAGTCCCAACTTATTTAACCTTTGCTCCTAAGCCAATCCCTCCATACCAGGGATCACACTGGTGAACGTTCTCTCAACTGTGTCTAACGAAATAATATTTATTCATAAATAAAGGGACCAAAACTGCTCACAGTTCTCCAGATGTGGTATCAACTGTTCTTTGCCCAGTTGCAGTAATACTTCCCTTCTAATGTATACAAATTTTTGATGACATAAAACGAGGTGAGAATATGAGCCCTGAAGAGAACACTAAAAGGCTATGAAGAGATATGGGCAGGTGAAACAAGCTACAAATTGGGAGATGGAATCTCACATGAGGAAGCGTGGTGTTATTCACTTTAGTTGCAAGAATAAATAAAAAGCGTATTTTTAAAGACATAAAAATTGTAAATGTTGATGTTCAAAAAGACATGGGGTACCCGTGCAAGGAATGTAGAAACTTAGCATGTAGGAGCAGCAAGCAATTGTGAAGGCAAATGATGGTGATCTCATTGAAATATATAGGAATCTTAAAGGCTTGACAGGGCAAATGCTGAGAGGATGTTTCTTCTTGTGGAAGAATCTAGGACCAAAGGGCATAGTCTCAGGATAAGGGGATGCCAATTTAAGGCTGAAATGAGGAGGAAGTTCTTTTGTCAGAGGGTTGCAAGTGTTTGGAATTCCTTGCCATCAGGAGCCGTAGGGACAGAATCCTTGTGTATATTGAAGGCCTGAGATAGATAGATTCTTGATCAGGAGGGTGATCAGGAAGGTAATCAAGGGTGATGGGGTCAGGACAGGAAAGCGGATATGAGGAATGTTGGATCAGCCATGATCTTAATGAATGGTAGAGCAGGCTTGAGAGGCTAAATGCCTATGCCTGACCTATTTCTTTTGATCTTATTGTCAAATGTTATGTTGGCATTTTATGCAAAAAGAATTCTGCTGACATTCCCAAATACTCTCAGTACGTAAGTGCAAAACAAGCATGTGGAGTACCTCGGCCAGGACTGCTAGTGGTATCATTCAACCCCATTCGCTCAAATTTATTCTGCTTTTCTGGGGCCACCATGTTATTTACTGGCAGGGCATTTCACAAAGTGCACATACACAGGGATTTCTGTACACCCAATTTGAAGCTTTAGGACTATCGGGAAATACAGCCTTCTTTATCAACACATCTTGATATTCCTGATTTTCCTTTCAAGTCTAAAATCTATCAATGTCAACCTTGACTATACTCAACGACTGAGCATTCACAGCTCTCTGGAGTACAGAGTCCCAAAGATTCATAACCTTCTGAGTAATGATATTTCACCTCAACTCAGTCCAAACGGACCAATCCTTTATCCTGAGATTATGCTGTCAGTTCTAAATTCTCCAGCCAGAGGAAATAATATCTTCTTATCTAACCTGTGAATCCCTCTCAGAATCTTATATTTTCCCATTAAAAACAACTTTTCATTCCTGTAAACTCAATTCTCCTTGGTCTCTCTTGACAAGTCGATCACCTAATTCGAGGAAACAATCAAGTGAACCTGTTTTGCACTACCTCCATGGCAACTTATATCATTCCTTGGATACACACACCAAAAACCTACAATGTATTATTAAGTATGATCTCACCAAAACCTTCCATAAATACAGCAAAACTTCCCTACTCTTCTAGTTCAACCCCCTCCAAATTCATTTCTCCCTTTAATGCAACTGTGGCAGAATAATGTTAGATATTATAGTATTATTATTAATTGTATTTTGGAATATTCATTATTATTGTTGTTATAGTATTATTATGTGCCAGGATTCACCAATATCCAATTATACCTGCCCCGTTAAAATGGAAGCTTTCATTATGCATTGGAAATGATGGCACGCACAGAAATGAACATGGATCCATTGTACTGTGCAAACTTTGGGCACAACAAAACAGAAACCCAAGCTGAATGATCAGCAAGAAGTAGCTGATGTAAGTCACAATGGTCATTGTCAGGATAAGATCCATTGCTTTAAAACTTTAGACTTTCATTATTAGCACAAACACAACAAAAGTACAATAGCCAAATTCTTAAATACAACATATTAAGTTAGATGATGGATGTAACTTCTCTTGAAATGGTAACTACTAGTTATTGAAGTGATTTACAGAAAATCAAAACTTCATGAAATTACAGCAAACAGCTTAGATAAATATTAGGGTGAAACCAAACAAAATACTTTTATTCTGAGTATAAACCAAACATAGTAGGAAAGATTAAAAAAAACATAAATAATGCATCAGAAATTCTTTAGTATTGATGAAGTTAGTCTTACTTGTTTGAACTGGAGATGTTGTCAGGTTCTGAAGTCTGAGGCCAGAATCTAATCTTTGAGGTTTAGTGCAGAAAAATAAGTAGCATAGCACAAACGCACTGATCACAAATGCCAGTAAAACAAGGGCAGCAATTCCTAATCCCACCATTGCACCTATACTAAACAAAATAAAACAAATATTCAATTACAATTACATTCAAATGCGTCCCTTACCTCAAATTAAACCAGAATACTATTTTGTCTGACAAGTTCTCTGGTGAGTGCAGTCAAATGCATTATCTGGAGAGTTGCCATAAAAAATGTTAGGTTCAAAGCCATGCCTCAAAAAATACTAGAATTTTTTGAGAACAGTTATTAGAGAATGGTGAAGCAATATAGTCATTAATCCAGTAGTGCTTTCAAAATGCATTTAATAAAATTCCACATTAGATGCAGGGTAATGATTAGGGTTCATGAGATTAATGATGAATTAGCTCAGTAGATTGAAATCTACTATAATAAAAATAATGGCAATAACCAATTTATTTTTATAAAATGTATTTCTTTTCCTTTCAGATTTCTTTTCAAGAAAATTAGCAACAGTATGAGGGCAACTTTATATTGCAGCATTACTGAATTCTGAAACATGTCAGCTCAAGTTGTGTTCTTTCTCCTATTCATCATAATTAGTAAATTCAAAGATTAAACTTACAGCCAGATTGAAAGATATTTACATCATAAAAATAATGCACTTGCGAATGTCTTCTAAGTTCGTTTTGAAAGCCAGGTATTTATATAATAATAAAAAAAGAACTTGGAGTTATACAGCACTTTTCACAATCTCAGGGCATCTTATAGAGCTATATAACAGCAATGATTTCTATTACTACAACAACTTTAACATAGGAAAAGCTATAAGGTACATTACCAATGAATTACATGTGACAAATAATCACAACTGTAATTCAGCAAACTCAGCAGCCAATTTGAACACAAAAATGTTCTACAAACACCAAGGAGGTAAATGGCCTGTTAATCTATTTTAGTAGGAATAGTTGATAGATATATACTGGCAGTCATTACATTTCCAAATATTACTGTGTGAGGGGCCTTGAGCAAACAAATGACCTACTCCAGAAAACCTGGTACAAACCTTTACTAACGTAAGCAACGGCCACCCAAAGCAAAACAGTGCCCTTCACTACAGAAATCTTTTGTAATTTTAAAATAAGGATACAGTAAATGGAATATGGTGAGGTGGAGGTGTGGTGGTAATGTCACTCGAGTAGTAACCCAGAGACCCAGGCTGATGTTCTGGAGGCCTAGGTTCAAATCCCACCATGGGCATTTGGTAAAATTTGACTTCAACAAAATCTGGAATTAAAAGCTATCTTAATAGTGCCCATGTAACCATTGTTGATTGTTGTAAAAAACGTCTAGTTCACCAAAGACCTTTAGGGAAGGAAGTCAATACAGTGTGGAGCTGGAGGAACACAGCAGATCAGGCAGCATCAGAGGAGCAGGAAAGTCGACGTTTCGGGTTTACACCCTTCATCAGGACTGCAGAGGGGAAAGGGAGCTCAGAAATAAATGGGTGGGTAGGGCTGGGGGAAGGTGGGAGGGATGGTGATGGGTGAGTGCAGGTAGGCAGTAGTGGGGATTGGTCAATGAGGTGCAAGGAGCGTATAGATGAGAGAGAAGATGGACAGGTTGTGTCAGATCAAGGAGGTGGGGATGAGAGGGAGGATTGGACATGGGATGAGGCCGGGGGTGGGGAGATTTTAAAACTGGTGAATTCTACGTTGAGGCCACTGGGCTGTAGGCTCCCAAGTGGAACAGGTTTGTTTCAGTATGTAGTCGAAGAGCTTCAATGCGGAGGAGATCACCAGTGAGTTGCAGTGGGTCAGAGATCCACTAAGATCTTTGCAGAGGGATGAGGACTGCATCTTCAAGGTAGGCATCCTCAGAAGAGGCTTTGCAGTAGGGTGTCCAGTGACTAGCAGACAGCAAGAACTGCAGATGCTGGAGTCAGAGTCAATACAGTGTGGAGCTGGAGGAACGCAGCAGGTCAGGCAGCATCAGGGGGGGCGGTAAAGTCGACATTTCAGGTTTACACACTTCTTCAGGACAGGGGAGGGAGAAGGGAGCTCAGACATAAATGGGGGGGGGGGGGGGGGAGTTGGGGGGAAGGTACTGAAGCACTGAAGCTCTTCGACTATATACTGAAACAAACGCCTTCTGCCTTGGGAGCCTACAGCCCAGTGGCCTCAACATAGAATTCACTGCTGTGTTCCTCTAGCTCCACACTGTGTTGGCTCTGACTCCAGCATCTGCAATTCTTGCTATCTCTTTAGGGAAGGAAATCTGCCATCCTTACCTGGTATGGCCTACATGTGACATCAATTGAGGAACAATGTAGTTGACTCTTAAATCATACAGTGAAGTAGCCTGCACAGCCAATCGGTTCAAGGGCAACTGAGAATGGGCAGCAAATGCTGGCTTTGCCAATGCTCACATCCCAAACTGCAATGATTTTTTTTTTACAGTGGGCCTTTAGGCCTTGTGAGACTGAGAAATTAATCCTGAATTCACATTTGATGCCAGAAGGAGTAGCTTAGCAAATTTATAGCAGGCAGCCTCATTTTTGGCCATATGTTGGCCCGCAAATTTTTGATGCTGCCAACTCAGTCGGAAGGCCAGCAGATCTGCAGCATTGGTGTCAGCAGGCAGTGCTGCTAACCCAGCTAGGAAACTTGAGGGCACCCAAGAATGAAGTATGCTTCAACATGTAAAATGTAAAGTAAAATTCAACAAGCTAAGGATGGGAGACCACAGTAATCAGCAGGGAAACATACCTGGCAGTGCAGGAACAGGGGGAGGGGAAGCATCATTGGGGCTGGGGGTAGATGAACATCCCTGTGCATTGCCCTTCTCTTTGGGGTACTCCAGGCAGGCTACCTCAATGAAGCTGGTAGCCTCTCTGTGCAGTGAGGGTTTAAGAGTTCAGTCCCCAGCATTACAGATGTCAGTGCTCAGTCAATCACTCCACATGATATCAAGAAATTGCTGAAGATATTTAATACTTTAAAGGTTGCGAATGTTGACAGCATCCTGGTACTAGTACTTGTGCTCCAGAACTAACTGTACCTGTAGTCAAGTTCTTCCATTACAGCTACAATACAAACATCTACCGGCAATGCAGCAAACTGGCTTATCTATCGGAAGCAAGACAAATCCAATTCAGTGAATGAACATGCCCTCAGTCTATGCTTAATCAGAAAAGTATTGAAAAAGGGGTCATTGACAATGCGAGCAAGTGACACTTGCAAAGGAATAGTTTCCTCACTGATGCTCAGTTTGGGTTCCACAAGAGCCATCCAGTTCCAGGCCTCATTGCAGTCTTTCTATAAACATAGACATAGGAGCTGAATTCCAGAAGTGAGGAGAGAGTAACTGTCCTTGACATCAAGGCAGCACTTAACCAGAGTGTGGCATTAAGAAACAAAACTGGGCTCAATCAGAATCACTGGGATAACTCTGCACAGGCCAGAGTCATACCTGGAAAAGAACAGGGTTGGGTTTTTGGAGGTCAGTAATTCAGGGCATCATTATAGGAGTTCTTCAGGATAGCATCCTAGTCCTAACTACTTACTATTGTTTCATCAATGCCCTTCCTTGCACCACAGGCTTTCGCAACATAAATTCAAACTGCAATATGGAAGCTGGTGGAATCTCAATACAATTAGCATTGGTGATCTGAAGATGATTATTCATTGTTGTAAAAATCCATTTGGTCCTTTAAAGACAGATATCAGCCATCCTTATCTGCTCTGGCCTACATGTGACTTCTGACCTACAGCAATGTGGCTGATTCTTAAATGCCCTTTAAATGACCGAGCAAGTCACTCAGATCAATGGCAGTCAGGAATGGACGGAAAATGCCCATATTGCATGAAACAAAAAAGAAAAATAAAATATAGCCATGAGTGAGGATATTGACTGATGCTCACACAATATTCAATATCATTCACAATGCCTCGGTTATGCAGGAGGACCTGAACAATATTCCGGTTTCAATGATAAGTGCCCAGAAATGACCACCTCCAATTAGAGAGAACCTAATAATCTCCTCTTGACAGCATTAGAAATTGGGGCCCCTAATAAACAGGCATTTTGTACATTGTATGTGTGCAGTTGAAATATGAAAAATGAAATTCACTAAAGAAGTAACAATCCTAGATCACAGGGAAACACACTTCTAGTCCCCAAAGGAAATACACACAACTGGCAAATGTGGCAGTGATAGAGGAATGCGACCAAGATTATGAGTCAATCTTTGTCAGACTCCATAAGGAGACTCAGAAAGATAAGATTAAGTTAAAACCAGTCCAGAATAAACTGGACAACACACTCAAGTGTGTGCCTTACAACTGAATAAAAGATACAGAGAATTGAGGGGAGAAATTGAAAAGTTACAAAGGAAAAGCGACAGTTTGCATCCTCAGTTATAGTGAGAGCAGGGTGCATGTGATGAGCAATACTATGAAAAGAAACACAGAAAACAGTAAATGCTGAGTTATGAGAAGAAATTGCCAGATTGAGGGGAGAACTAGATGATGCAAAGAGTGCTCTGAGAGAGTTAACTTCATACTCAATTGTTGCCTCCCCTGAAATAGACCACACACTTTGTACATTCAAATTCAGACAACTGTAACACAAATTGGACAACAAGAAGCAAAGATATCTCACTTCTAGTGAAAGGAGACATCTTGATATGTGCTGGAACGGAGGGAGGAGCTTCCCTAGCAATTTGAGGTTATACTGGGACAGCTCTATCGAAAATAAGCACTCCTCTGTCACACCTTCCCTTTACAGTGATGTAGAATCACATGGGCCATGGCAAAAACCTGGAGGACACTATCCGACCCCACCACCAAAGACATCTTTCCCTCCCCACCCTTATCTGCTTTCTGGAGGGACCACTCTCTCCGTGACTCCCTTGTCCCCGCTCCACACTCCCCTCCAGCCCCACCACACCCGGCACTTTTCCCTGCAACCGCAGGAAGTGCTACACCTGCCCCCATACCTCCTCCCTCACCCCCATCCCAGGCCCCAAGAAGACTTTCCACATCAAGCAGATGTTCACCTGCACATCTGCCAATGTGGTATACTGCATCCG